GCGCAAAGAAAGTGTTTGGGTGGGGGGGGGGGGGGGGGGGTTCTGCATCCCATCTAGCCTGGAAATCCCTTGGAATGACCAGAAATATATTAACCCTCAACCCAGACAAAGAGAAATTAGGTCTAATGAGTCTACTTTCCCCACATCATCCAATAGAACAAGCCGTTTAGAAATAGATAAATGCATGGATGAGTGGTGCATGGATTGATGGATGGATGGATCGATTGATTGATGGGTTGAATACTACTGCAATGCTAATGAGACAGAACAATTATTCTGCTAGACATATATGCCCACAATGTATTTGTTTTTTTTGTAACATTAACACAAGCCAAAATACAGTACTGCTCAATTCCACACCATACAAAACTGAGTTGGGCATTTTTAAGAAAACCTTTGAAAAACCCCCAAAAACAAATAGTTTGTTTCTAATTTGATGCACAATCATTTATAAAAACAAATTATTATTCATTTAACAAAGAAGTCTTTGATTAATGGTTAGTGGATGGCAGTTCCTGCTACACCATCTATCACTGTGTTAATACTTATGATAAGCTAATATTTGGAAAGGGCACTAAACTAGTAGTAAAGCCAGGTAAGTTTTTATCTTAACTAATACTGATCCTTTCTAATAGTGAAAATATGATTATAAAAAAGCTGTAGATATATGTTCGATTAAAATGATTTTATACTGTTTCTAAATATTCATGTAAAGCAGAGAAGGTATGTAAACCTGTTTTCTGATCTACTCACATAGCGCAGCTATGGCATATGTAGGTATGTCACCTATGGGTTTTCTTGCCAAGCTGTTTACCACAGTGCAAATAATTATGGCAAGTTTATATTTGGACAGGGAACACTTTTGCAAGTAACACTTGTAAAGTTTGTCTTGTAGAACATCATTATTATTATAATTTTTATGAATTATCTTTAATTAAGTACACATAATTTTTTGTGGATCATGTGCACAGAAAATTTCGATCTGTGTCCAAACTCAAAGTCTTAAAGAAAACATGTGCTGAAAAAATATGGAAGCTGCTATTGCTGATCTCTTCTTTTGGAAATTCTAGTTGCCTAGCTGCCATATCGACCCTCTTGCTTTTGTACTATAAGTCACTGACCTGGGTAGTATAGAAAGAAAGACCTTTGACTTTTCTCTGAGTTTCCAGATGCATCTAATTGTTCAAACTTTCAAAAACTGCTGCAGCCAAGGGTTCATGGCTGTCATGTTGATCCAGAGACTGAAATATTTCCTTGGTTAGTGTATTTACTATTTACTATTTCTGATGATCAACAGTCAGTGCAACATATCAGTGATGTAATTGCACAAAATATGGGACATTTTTAGAAAACCGTAATAAGGTGCAAAATAGCTTGTTATTTAGAAATAAATATTAATACCAGTGTAAAAAGCAGGTTTCTTCTATGAATACAATTTAAATATTTGGGTTTTTGAGTCATTGGGCTAATATAAAAATGACAACTTATATAAATCACCCCACAGGGTGCATGCTGGTGTTACTTTGGTCTGCTTTCTGCTGGTTATGCACACTGAATTTTACCATACATGGATTTACTAAAGGAGTATATCATTGATTGATGTTCACCTTACAAAGTGAATTTTTACTCTGAAAAGGAATTTTCCCTACTTAAGTGAATGTGATAAAAGTTGACTGTGCAAAGAATACCCGATCCCATGCAAGGAAAGTTAAAAAAAAATTGATTTTTTTCTTGCACATGATTGGATAATGGAAGTCAGTAGAGCTGTACCACATTCAGTAAACTAAGGCTGAAATCCCTTTGCAAAGTGAAAATTCCCTTTGCAGTGCACTTTATTGGGGCAAATCTGTCATTATGCTCTTGAATAACAATTTGTTTTTATTTTAAATTTTTCACAGTGATAAAGGCATTTTTTTACAGTACCCTCTGAATAAAGTTAATTGAAAAGGGAAGTAGTGAAGTGCAGTAGCCAATACAACCAACACACAATCATATTATAGCTAACTATTTTAGAAGCAAACATTTAATTGGTAGTCCTAGGTCATTGCTCTTCAGCCCAAAGTGTAAGGAAGTGTAACACTGTGATAATGAGGGTCTAAGAAAACTGGTATTTGCCAGAGGAACTATTCTTTCTGTTACTTCAAGTAAGTCTTATGTGGCTGGTTCCCTCTCACATAGGGATTAGTTGTCTTTACTTCATACTGTGCCCTTTCATTTGGAAGATAGATTATTTCATATGCACACAAAATACAAAAAGTAATATACAGTATCTGGTATTTTCTTTGTGTATTGTAAAACAGTAATGAATCCATATGTATATCGGTATTATTATTGTATGAGGCAGGTTTAAATACCGTAAGTGATTTTATACTGGTTTTGAGTGTCACTCATAACGTGCATGCCTTAATGTTTATGGTGGAGTGATAAGCACTGTGTTGATTATGGCACAAATAAGCTCACATTTGGCCAAGGAACTACACTGCTAGTATTGCTAAGTAAGTAGTATTGAAAATAAATTAATCAATATAATACTATTACGCTGGCAACGTTCAGTAATTTTAAGATACTTTCAACAGCTATCAGATGTAAAATCTATTTAACGTGATTTAGACAGCCTGCCACCAATGCATAAGACCAATTCATGGTATTGATAAAAATATTGGTGGTTGGCTACTTTCATTTATTTGGTCATTTGTGCAGTCAAAACTAGTGGTAAATGGTTAAAGCTGCCAGACGGTTGCCACTTACGTGCCCATGTGTGATGTTCCAGTTTTTGTCATAGTGGACTTTTTCTACATTTTATGGTTTGATATCTGATTTTGTAAGCATCTTCATGGAAAAAATATATAAACAAATTATCATAGAAATCATATTGATTTTAGAGAATTTGAAATGTTGAGAATATAGACAAGCATAGACAAAAACTAAAAATCACATTTGTATGAACTGATCTTCTTGTAAAGTACCATCTTCAAGTGGAAGTTTGTTTTTCAGAAGGTGCTGACATTGTCCATGTATGGCCAATGTATAGTGCTTATGTAGCAACAGAAAAATAATAGTTTGACCCTGGTTGTCTTTACATTTTTAGTTATTGAGACTGATTTTCATAGTTTTAGTCACTTATGATGGTTATTTGGAAAATATAATGAAAGAAAATGCAATTTCAACTGTATAACAATATTGTCTAAGTGTTGCTTTTGAACTAAGGTGTTTATTAAAATGATACAGTTATTACATTGGACAGAAATCAGCTACTAAATTTCTTCTCTCTTTTTATTTGTAGAAACAGAGCAGAAAGACCCTTCTGTGTACAAACTCAAATCTTCTAAACAAGGTGAAGGCTTGCCAAATTTTGTGTGCCTTGTCACAGATTTCCCAAATCCCCAGACGAATTTAACGGTTGATGGAATAGAGAGTTCTCTCAGTGCTACAGCTGTTCTGGACAAGTCAACAAATGATGTTTGGAGATATAGCACAGTCGTATGGGATAACAATAATGATGTTGATTGTCGTATGCGGTATGGTGATGGCAACGAAATATACCCAAAATCTGACCCAGGTAAATAAATCACAGTTCATTCTGCCAAAAGAACATGCATATAAACTAAGATATTCATTTATCTTGTGCAACATTTATAGGCACCAGATGTTAGCTTTAGATCATATTACAAATACAAAATCTGTCCAAGATATAGTAATTCATCAAGGTGCAATTTCTAATCACAGCCAGGTAAAGAGATTACCCAAGTCCAAAATCTATTTGTATTCTGTGTATAGTTTTATCCTACTATCAGTTGCCTAGAGATGTCACATTTTTGGAGACTAGTTTACACTTAATTCTGTATATGCACAAATATTCCAGCTTTAAAAGTTGATGGCAGGCAAGAATAAAAGTAATCTTACCAGATGTATATACGCATGCCATTGCAGCCCATGTATGATTGCACCTACTATAGCACCTCTTTGATTACTCTGACAGCAACAAACGCTTGTAGTGGCCCACATTATGGGTCATTTAGAAGGCCTAGAATGAAATTGCTCTGCCAGTCATTTGTCATTGGATAGGAGAACGGTAACCTATAAGCTATATTGTGATTACAGTTAAAGTTGGAGCTGTTTTGTGTATTATTGCAGAATATAGCTTTTATCTACCAACTTTTTTTATTTTTCAGAAAACGCTGAAGAGACTTGCTCATCACTTTCCATCGATGCGTCTTTCCGAACAAGTAAGTTACCCTTTTAGAATAGTCAAATGTACCTCAACGGTTCCTATATAGTCAGCTTCTGCCATTCCTTTTTAACTCTCCATCAAGTAAACTGTTCTGTGGCAATGGCACTGCTTAGCCAGATTGTTTATTATTCGCATATTTTTAGTACCATAAAAGATCAACTACAGTACCCATGTAACATTGTTAATGCAATGACATAAATCATAAACCACTTTACATTTTAATGTATAAATAAAGAGTCTGTCACCAAGATAAAAAGTGTTTCTGCTTGCAGTAGTTTATTAAATACAATTAAAGTAGTATTCATTTCCGAGCCTGTCAGTATTGTGGGTTTGTGTATTTGGAACAGTTGGGGCTGAATTATTAAAGTATAAGAGACTGTTCACTTTGTAAAGAGAAAACTGCAAGTTCCCTGAGTTTAGTGAATAAGGTCAAGCTGTGTTCACTTTGATTATTCAGTCCTGTGCCATGGATGTTAGAAAAGCTGGATTTTTGCTATTACAGGATTGGACATTTGAAGTGGACAAAACTTCACTTGATTTTGCTGAGCAACATTCAAACATTCAAGTGAACGACCTCTTATCCCTTAACAAATCAATCATTTTCCTTGGATGTGCAAGCATAGAGCAATGCCTAGAGCTCCCAGTTTTACCTTTTGCCAGAGAATTAAAAAATTAGAAATAGAACACTTCAAAACCAAATATATTTACTGCTATTTACTCAGAAATTATTGCATGGAAAAGGTCTATATTGTTTCATTCTTTTTCCACTGCAGTTTGATCCTTTTTCATTTCAAACAACAATAATAATAATATCAAATTACAAAAAAAAACATTTTGCAACAAGTGCATTGTTATATTTGTCAGAGCTTGAACATATTAAAGGATATTTTCAGTAAGGATCAGAGAAGGAAAATAAGGTCTAGGCAGTCATTGTTTCATTGACATGATGGAGCCAAGTATTAATGTCTAGATAGAAAAGGGCAAAAGATTAACATTTAACATGCAGACATTTAAGTAATAGAAATGTTTTAAGCATACTAAGGCTTCCACATAAACGGAAGTTCATCCAAAAGTGATATTTAGTTTAGTTATAGGTGGAATCAATCAGCTTTACCTGCTGGCTATTTAATTATCTTAGGGGTCTATTCACGAAGCTGAAGGATCTAGCCATAGCTTCGGCCGATCCTTCGGCTAGCTTCGGCCCCAGGAAGCCTTCGGTTCAGTAGAACCGAAGGGGTGGGTGCTGTACGGGCTATTCACTATAGCCCGTACAGCTCCCGAACCTGGCCGAGCGGCTCAGTCGAGACGAACGCATATGCATCGGCTCGGCTGAGCTGTGCTGAAAGCCGAAGCTGGCCGAGCTTCTGACAGCTGGGCGGAGCCAGTCGTGATCTTACGGCTGGCTCCGGCCACTTGCAGAGAGATCAGCGTCCCTGGTTACCTGCTAACCAGGGACACTGATCTCCAAACAGCTAACTCTCCCTGGCGCCCCGGGAGTCTCCTGCTCCCGGCCGCCAAGGAGAGAAAAACTGCTGTGTCTTTTTTTTTCTTTATTCTGACACGGAGCGATGTCAGAATAGAAAAAATAATTTTAAAAATGTCCCATTAAAATGCATTGCTACATTACTATTGGCTATTTAAATTTGCAATAGCCAATAGTAAACTAGCATTGTACCCTTTGGATAGGAGAACGGTAACCTATAAGCTATATTGTGATTACAGTTAAAGTTGGAGCTGTTTTGTGTATTATTGCAGAATATAGCTTTTATCTACCAACTTTTTTTATTTTTCAGAAAACGCTGAAGAGACTTGCTCATCACTTTCCATCGATGCGTCTTTCCGAACAAGTAAGTTACCCTTTTAGAATAGTCAAATGTACCTCAACGGTTCCTATATAGTCAGCTTCTGCCATTCCTTTTTAACTCTCCATCAAGTAAACTGTTCTGTGGCAATGGCACTGCTTAGCCAGATTGTTTATTATTCGCATATTTTTAGTACCATAAAAGATCAACTACAGTACCCATGTAACATTGTTAATGCAATGACATAAATCATAAACCACTTTACATTTTAATGTATAAATAAAGAGTCTGTCACCAAGATAAAAAGTGTTTCTGCTTGCAGTAGTTTATTAAATACAATTAAAGTAGTATTCATTTCCGAGCCTGTCAGTATTGTGGGTTTGTGTATTTGGAACAGTTGGGGCTGAATTATTAAAGTATAAGAGACTGTTCACTTTGTAAAGAGAAAACTGCAAGTTCCCTGAGTTTAGTGAATAAGGTCAAGCTGTGTTCACTTTGATTATTCAGTCCTGTGCCATGGATGTTAGAAAAGCTGGATTTTTGCTATTACAGGATTGGACATTTGAAGTGGACAAAACTTCACTTGATTTTGCTGAGCAACATTCAAACATTCAAGTGAACGACCTCTTATCCCTTAACAAATCAATCATTTTCCTTGGATGTGCAAGCATAGAGCAATGCCTAGAGCTCCCAGTTTTACCTTTTGCCAGAGAATTAAAAAATTAGAAATAGAACACTTCAAAACCAAATATATTTACTGCTATTTACTCAGAAATTATTGCATGGAAAAGGTCTATATTGTTTCATTCTTTTTCCACTGCAGTTTGATCCTTTTTCATTTCAAACAACAATAATAATAATATCAAATTACAAAAAAAAACATTTTGCAACAAGTGCATTGTTATATTTGTCAGAGCTTGAACATATTAAAGGATATTTTCAGTAAGGATCAGAGAAGGAAAATAAGGTCTAGGCAGTCATTGTTTCATTGACATGATGGAGCCAAGTATTAATGTCTAGATAGAAAAGGGCAAAAGATTAACATTTAACATGCAGACATTTAAGTAATAGAAATGTTTTAAGCATACTAAGGCTTCCACATAAACGGAAGTTCATCCAAAAGTGATATTTAGTTTAGTTATAGGTGGAATCAATCAGCTTTACCTGCTGGCTATTTAATTATCTTAGGGGTCTATTCACGAAGCTGAAGGATCTAGCCATAGCTTCGGCCGATCCTTCGGCTAGCTTCGGCCCCAGGAAGCCTTCGGTTCAGTAGAACCGAAGGGGTGGGTGCTGTACGGGCTATTCACTATAGCCCGTACAGCTCCCGAACCTGGCCGAGCGGCTCAGTCGAGACGAACGCATATGCATCGGCTCGGCTGAGCTGTGCTGAAAGCCGAAGCTGGCCGAGCTTCTGACAGCTGGGCGGAGCCAGTCGTGATCTTACGGTGGACACTGACCTCCAAACAGCTAACTCTCCCTGGCGCCCCGGGAGTCTCCTGCTCCCGGCCGCCAAGGAGAGAAAAACTGCTGTGTCTTTTTTTTTCTTTATTCTGACACGGAGCGATGTCAGAATAGAAAAAATAATTTTAAAAATGTCCCATTAAAATGCATTGCTACATTACTATTGGCTATTTAAATTTGCAATAGCCAATAGTAAACTAGCATTGTACCCGCCCTCTGCTGCAGTTCTCCATCAGGTCCATCAGCAGAGGGCGAGTACAATGCTAGTTTACTATTGGCTATTTTTTTACTATTACTATTACTATTTACTATTGGCTAAATTTAAATAGCCAATAGTAATGTAGCAATGCATTCCAATGGGACATTTTTTTTCTATTCTGACATTGCTCCGTGTCAGAATAAAGAAAAAGAAAGACACAGCAGTGTTTCTCTCCTGGGCGGCCGGGAGGCTCCCAGAGCGCCCGGGAGAGTTTTTTTTTCTTTTTTTTTTTGACGGCAGCAGAGCCGCCAGACAATAGGAAACTATTGGGCAGAGCTAGCTGTCACTGCTAGCTCCGCAAAATCGATTTCAATTTACTTTTTTAAACTTTTTTCACTCTTTTTATGTTCTGCCTGGTCCCTCTGACGGACCGAGCAGAACAGTCGAGCCGTATGCGGCATTCGGCTATTCACTCACTGCTGTTCGGCATCTATGAGAATAGACCGAACAGCAGTGAGTAGCCTGCCGGAGGGTCGGCTCAGCCGATCCAGATGTTCGGCTGACCCGAAGCCATGTGAAGCAAGCCGATGTACGGCTGATTTCAGCCAATGTACGGCTGAAATCAGCCGTACCAGCCTGAAGTGAATAGCCGAACAGTGTTCGGCTCACTTCACTTGGGGTCGGTTGTTCACTCGGCTGCCCTCAGCAGCTTAGTGAATAGACCCCTTAGAGTCTCCCCATCACAGTTTACAGTATATATCTGTTCCTGCCCACGTTGGAGTTTAAATCCTCCTGCTAAAACAAGGGTGTTCCCTGGTATTCTTACTTACTCCCAAGGCATGTTCTCTCATATAAAATACATTCCTACAGGAAAATGCGGGCCCCTATTTTATTGCTAGATCAGTATGCAGACTCTATAAACTCACTTCTAGAGAAAATATAAGCCATTTAACTCATCAGAATCTACCAAAAACTAAGTCAACTTTTAATGGACTGGTTCTTAGAACTATGCAGCATTGTATAGTAAACTATAAAAAGTAAACTATAATGTTCATTCTTGTTTACAGATCCAAGCTTGAATACTTTGTCTCAAACAGTGCTTGGTTGGAGGGCCCTTACAGCCAAAGCAATTATATTCAATCTCATAATAACTCTCCGACTTTGGTCATCTTAAGGTGAGTGATTTTTTCCAAACTTCTTTACAACTTATCACTGGTTTGGTAATAAATTAAGATGAAAGGGGATTTTTATAATGTTTTAGTACTATCTGCACCAGTTAGTCCTTATGTTCTCAAAAGATTCCTTAGTGACACCAAAGCATTTTGGTGTTGATTTACTTAAAAACTTTTCTTAGCCTACTGAAAGTGGTTAATAATCCAATCATGTGCACACTAAGGTCTTTTTTTTTAATTTTCCTTGCACCTAATTGGGTATTTAAAGTAAACACAGCTTTACCTTATTCACTAAGCTAATCAAACATTCCCCGTATTAAAGCAGAACTAGACCCACAAATTTAATGTTCCTCAAAACATTTACTTTTAAGTCATGCCAACTGTCAAGGTTGCCAGTGTGCTTATTTCAGCTCTCAACCAAACTTCCAAGCCCTTTCTTGCCTGTAAAGGATAGGGGGTGTAGTTCAGCTTTAAATCAGTTATGTTTAGATATATAGGAACATTTACTTCAGTGATCTAAATACAATTAATCAAACACATTATTCATATTATGAATCATGTAAAAAAAAACTTTAACTGTTCTGTTTGTGTGTAACTGTGCTCATCAGTATTTCAGTGTTATGACATGATTTGCTCATTTAGAATTTATACATGAAATACAATATAAAAATGTATAAATACATATCCTATCTGTTTGATAAAAGCAAATCCCGACTCCAGACAAATTTTGTTTTAAATAGAACAGAGAAGGCTCATAGCAGATACCAGGCAGATCAGATCAGAAGCCCAATGTTAGTCTATGGGCAACTGGATCTTAACGGGCGGGTGTCTGTGTACAACCAGTTACCCCCAAATCTGGCTAGGTCTGGAAAATAAATGGAACAAAGTTCTGTTGCACCAGACCTGATGATGGTGGATTAGGGTAATCTGATGTATATGATGCATGTCTGTTTACATCTGACTCCCCATAGATAATATAAACACATATCCCCCACATATAATATAAACACTGAGGGGGGGATTTAATCAAATCTGGAGAAGACAGAATCAGGAGCAGTTTTCCATAGTGACCAATCAGCCTTCTTTTTAGTTTGTTCAGTTAAGCTTTGAAAATGAAAGACATAAGATGATTAATTGCCATGGGCAACTGCTCTAGATTGTGTTCTGTTTATTAATAAAGTGCGTTCTGTGCATTTATACATTCTTAGGGGTTAATATAATAAATGTGTAGAGAATATTCTCTTTGCAAAGTAACTGTTACTTAGCTTAGTGAACATATTAATGGATGAAAAAAATGAGGCTCTTTGCTTGCATATGTTTGGATGAATACAGGTTCAAAGGGTGAAGTGAACATTCTCTTCTCCTACAGTAAACCATGTTGTTTGGTAATGGGCATAATTTGCACTCTTTTTACTAGTTTACAATATACTAGCTTTAGAAAGCACATGTATCGAAAAGTTGCATGTTACTGATATTCAGTGTGGTGTAATAATTTAATCATGTGTTCTTCTTTAACAGGAATTGATCTTCTGGACTTACAAAAAATAGAAAACAAACATGGACCAGCACCTCTTCCCATCTCTAATTTTCTCATAACTTACCACTAGTGCTGTAATGTTCTTTCTCTTATATGATGAAAATTAGTTTAAAAATGAAGCTATCATTACAAAAATGTACTGGTTTCAGTTTTTAGCAGTGTTTTTCAAAGCAGCATTGCAAACTTGGACTCTAGCACCGCCGCCATTCCACAGTGTAATACATCTCACAACATATTGAGCTGCACTTTAAATTATTAGAGGTGGGAAGTCTGATTCAGAGCAAGAACTGAAGGCAAATGCAAAAATAATGTGGAGTCTGCTATTAGAGACATGTCAGTATATTCTTGCACCACTATGCAAAAAATATTTGTTATGAAATCTCAGAAGAAAACTCTTGTAAAACTTGTAACAGCAACATAAACAAAATATATGTTAATCTGTCACAATCAAGAGACAATGATATGGACATAAATATATCTGTTCATGTTCTTCTATTCTTCCCATGTAATCATTTTGTTATATATTATTGTTATGTTAATGTAATGTAATAATTGTATACTCGTATGTACAGACCCCGTCCAATTTATATGTGGATTTTATAAAACATGTATTCCTCTCTCTTAGTTTTAAGTTTCTTCTAGTTCCATGGAGACTATAGCTTGATATTCTTATCATTAAACAATAGGCTTGTAGTTTTCTCAGCTTCATGATTCACTTGACTAAAATGAATGTTGCATGAAAATGTGTAGTGTTATGTATGTAATGTTTATGTAAACATAGCTGTTAACAAGCATTTATATATGATATGAAAAATAAATGTTTTATTTTACAACATTAATATGTATGTCTTTTATGTTACTGTTTTTGATCTTGTGACACTGCTTAAATATAAAATAAATAATAAATAAATATAAAACTTCAGTCCCAGCAACAGTGGTAACTACCACACATAGAGAGGGTACATTTTCTTAGCTGGGACACAGACAGTAATACAAACTTGATAGGGGTTCTAACCCCTCCCCACCCTATCCAAAGCTAACAAAAAAAAAGTTTGCCTTTAGATATGTTTTAAAGCTGTGTATAAGCGTTGATAGTGGACTCCACCATTGTTGGCCGCTGTCAAAACACACTGATTGGCCCCAAGTTTGGCTGAGAATTTTCCAACCAGCACCTTCAATCAGAGGGATGTCGGCCGAAATTCGATACGTGTGTACCCGGCTTAAGTGAGAGTTTCAGTGTATATAAATTAGAGGTAAATAAAGTATATGGGTTTATGATAACAGGCAATCAGATCCTTCCTATATTCACTTACCTGTTTTGTAAAATGACAGCATAAAACTGCTTGGCTACTATGGGCTACAAAATACGCTTATGTTACCAATAGTGTCACATTGGTAACATAAGCACAGTGATCCCCTTTTTTATTGCAGGTATGTGTTTACTGAATACATATAAACGGGAAATAAGTAATCCAAGAAGTTATAAAACATTGAATGATTATAAAATGTTCTTCCTATAAACTTTTCCTACTTTAACTGCAAAGTACAGGCACATACATGAGGCACCATAGCCACGTTATCTCCGATGTAATACATGCTCTTTATAGACAAAGTATATATTTACTTGGATTTTCTAATTGCAGATTCTTGAGGCTGGAATGACAGGTGGTTCCAGCCAGCTTCAGCCACTCACCCTTATTCAGTGCCCTAGGTTTTATACTTATTTTAGGGGTCTCTTTTTTGTGGGTAATCTTGATTGCAAAGACAATACAATGTTCAAAAAACAAACAACTGAAAACCTAAACCTTTGAGGCTACAAAGAAACCATTAACTATACACACGGAAACAGTTAGTAAAGTACATGTAATGTGTGGTGTGTCCTGAAATTAGAATAATAGCTCTATGTACATGTGTTAGTTGCAAATGACTGTCTAGCTGACAGCTTAGTGGAAAACATTTTTTTGTTTGTACTTTCCAACTCAGTTCTGAAAAGTGCCAGGTTAACAATTGCAATAAAGCACATATTTGTGGTCCCCCCAATAGTCAGAAGTAGTAGTGATGATAGTGAGGTCTGATGAACTCCAAACTGTGTGGAGAGAATAGGGGAGTAGTACTGAATACCATGTTACTCCTATTTTCCTCAGAGTTTGCAAGTCGGTAACAAAAACAGTCAGATTTAAAACGTATATTTATGCTTAAGCAGCCATGCTTAAACCAACTTAAGGCACATTAAATAAACAGCAGACATGGAATGCAAAAGAATCATAAATCTTTACTAGCCAGGGTCTTTAAAAGACTGCAAATGATGCCCTATAAATTGTCAAATAATAAATAGCGTAGAGAGCAATACGCATCTGCAAGTCTGGTTTTTCACCTAAAACTGAACTCTCTCAATTCTAATTTATATATCATAACACCTACTATAATGGAGTGACCGTCATAAAAAGTGATTACACTAATGGATAAGAACCTATCAATGAGTTGGTGCAGAAGACTAATAAGACACATCACATATGCAATTTGTCATATGGAACAATAGATGTTTTATGATATTTGGCATTAAGGGTGTATCCACTGGGTAAATACCAGACCAAGCTGTCCAGAAAAAGTGGCAGTTAGAGGGTTGAGACAAACCATTTAACACTGAATGGGGTGCTTACATTGGTCAGCTTTCATTAATTCATGAGACAAAAAAAACCACACAGGAGTTTATTCCTGGCGTCCAATGACAAACAATGGCTCCACCTGGAGCGGTCTTGGGTCCCGGGTAAGGACCAGCGAGGGTACTTATTGTCCCGTCTTTGGGAAACCGCTCCTGCACCAGGCCTATCGCCTCCTAATCGGACTTCCATAATGGCCTGGCGTACATTGACCATGTCTACCTTTTCAAAAGCCCCCTTAAATCATGTCCCAACATCATTGTCATCATTAGAACTTCTGATTCCGGATTTATCATTACAGACATGGAAGTCTCGTGGCATTCAAATGCTACTAGACATCACATATGGATACTCCATCAAACCATTTTCGGCACTATCTACTAAATTCCAACTCTCTCATAGGGAATATTATAAGTATCTACAAATAGCCCTTCTCCTTCGGTACAATAAATCGATGTTTATTAAACTCCCCTTTAGGGTCATCTCTTACTATATGTCCCATTCCTCACAAACGAAGGGACTATCTTTCTTTTACTTACTGCTCCTAAACAAACTGAATTTTGAGAAAAATGCACCTATCTTGGCCTGGGAGAGTGACATTGCTATCTCGGTTCCTGAATCCCACTGGTTGCTGGCTTTTAGGGAAACCTGCAGGGGCTTCTAGATGTGTAGACATGTTGGAGTTAGCACAGAAAACTTTGTACTTGACTCCATATTGACTGGCCAAAATATCTCCAACCAACTCTCCGGAGGGCTGGAGGGGTTGTAGACTCATTGGCACATTGCTCCACGTCTACTGGTCCTG